AACAAGTGGCATACACACTCAAGCTGTGCAAGCTCTGCTTGGAAAACTGTGAAGAAGGCCGATGCATAAAAGGAAGGAGGGCCTGTTGGTACTGCAGCAAAATCGAAGGAACCCCGTTTGAAGATGTAATACCTCCCGACAAGGGCCACCATCGAGCATTATGCCCCGTCCCGGACGCAAAGTGGAGGATCGAAGCCAGGGTGCAAGCAGCAGTTCGCGAATTACAGGAGATGGAAAGAAATCGACATTCAAGGCGGGGAATGTCGCGGCATTAATCCGCGACCTGGAAGATTTATCTACGATGTTGATACCATCTTTCACGTCTGTTGTAGTGATACAGTTCTTCTTTGTTTGATATACGTTGCATTGTTGGTTGAAGTGGAGAACTGTCTGGTTCATTCATTCTAGTTGAAGATAAATTTTTATCGGCTCTGTGCTCGTATCACGACACATAAGTCCCGCGTGGCAGCACACAAGTTTTTACATTCGCACGTTCTACCCCCGGGCTTTAGTGCGACGTAAAGGGTCTCACGCAGATTCTCTTCTATGGGAGGCGGACAAGACAATCATTATTTGTCGCGTCATCGCAGGCGGCGTGTTGTGTGCAGTCCTCGATGTGCATCAGTTTCTCGATTAGAGCAGCGAAACTCCTGTGAATTGAAGCGGACCGACTTCGCATAACAACGTGAGGTCGAATTCCTCGTCCCTTAAAGTTTCACTCAAACCCAAATTGCCATCCCGGCGTATTACGATTGTCTTGTTACATACTCGTGCAAAATAGTTTCTGTTTCAGTGATTACTGAAGATGATGATGACACAGTAGCAATGATCAAAGAGTTGCTGGACTCAAGAGTACGGCCAAATGGTGTGCAGGAGGATGGTGGTGATGTTACATACATGGGGTTGTGACGAGCGACATCGGATCGTTCAAGATTTGAAATTAAAGTAGGCTTCGAAAATGCATGTTTTCCATTTTATTCGTCTTCAGCGCCAGCCCTATGTGTTGGCACCGATGTCTCTGTACGGTGCGCATTGCAAGCTTCCATATAAGTGTACATCACGGTCTAGACCAAATGTCATGCGACGTCAAACTTGGTAGTCATTCTTAATTTTACAAGCAGACAGACAACTGACGGCGTAACCAATACGTGACGCTTCAGAGATGTGGCCGATCATCCATCTTCACTGGCTTAAAGCAAACCGTAAGCAACGGTGAAAAACAAGACAGAAAAAACATAGGCATCGAAGCGAGTATCAATTACCGCGTATAATAATTGGTAAACTTCGAACTGTGTATATACTTCGAATACGTGGATAATGCAGGCGAAAAGAATAGAAATCATAGAATGAGAATTACGAAGTGCCGGAGCAGGGAGAGGAGCCGTGCAGGTGGGATAATGACTGTTCAGTTTGTTCTACTTACCTTGTGGCCTTTACGCGCAATCTTTTTAATATCCAATTTGATCTTTCTCCGCGATAATCTTCATGCGATCCAGCACATTGCTGACCGCCTAGAATTTCCTATCTTTGAACCAATTGCTTGCAACTTGCTCTTCTTAGGCAATCCGCCTAGGGTCGTATAATATTTAGAGCTTTCGCAGTAAAAACAGCGTCCTTATTTGAAATGGCTTATTGTGCATGTTGTACAAAGCGCGGCGCGCCTTCCACAAATTTGCTGCAATGCAGGTATCAAATCCCATACCTAATGGTGCTGCACCGCATTCCTTCTCTGCCAAGGTCTGGCCGGAACGAAAATGGTGATGTGTCTGTGTGGATGTTAAACCCAGATTCTGAGGAGACTCAGTGATGCTTAGGTAATGACTGATTCGCGGCTGGTAGCCTGGGGAAGGAGTACATTCGAAGCACTCCCTGTGCAAGGCTAGTGCTAGCGTCATCCAAATAGAAGTAGAACCCTTCGAATTCTGCAAATTTCGGAGCTCCTCCCACTATAGGTCAGGCAATGGTCTTCATCTCTATTGCGGGAGTCCCAGTTGCACAGAGACTTCTATAACGACCTTCCTTCTTCGAATGTTTATAAGCCGCCGATTTCTCTCACAGTCTGTACTGCTAGTTCAGGGATCGTGTACAGGATGCCCTAGTTCTTCAATCACATTGAAGTCAGGGATTCAAAACATGTTGCAGTTCTACGTTCCGGAGGTCGGTTTCTCAGTCCTTTATAGAAACATCGGAAACTCTGGCATTGGAGCCGAAAGTAGTTTCAACGCCACTGGTGCTAGTACGCTGGATGACATCTCTTAGTGAGCTGGCTCAGCATCCTTCCATCAATGGCGCTAGAACTGCTGCTCGAATCATAGGCACACCTACTGTCTCTGAGGCAGCGTCCAGACTTCGCGAAGACTCGCGTCGACGAGCTGTGGGCGCATCAGAGCGCTACCACTGCATCAGCGATCCAACGCTAGACGGGAGCCCAGCCATAGACTGGTTTCGGTCGCCGCCAGCAACTGCTGCTTTGAGAGCATAAGGGGGAAGTATAGTACGCATTCCCTAATCTCGTTGTCTGGTATCGATCGGCGCCGACTTGTGTTTTGGGAGAGTGTATGTGAAGAGGAGGTTATCAGACAGT